ACCTTGGAAAGCCAGGGCAGGAGGATTGCTTGAGGCCAGGAGTTCCAGACCAGCCTGGGCAACATAGCAAAACCCTGTCTCTATGCAAATGTTAAAAAATTACCCTGGCATGGTAGCATCCACCTATAGTCCCAGCTACTCGGGAGGCTGAGATGGGAGGACCGCTTGAGCCCAGGAGTTCCAGGCTATAGTGAGCCATGATCATGCCACTGCACTCCAATTTGGACAACAGAGAGAGATCCTGTCTTTAAAATGGGAGGGAACAAAGAGAGGGAGGGAGGGAGGGAGGCCATTGGAAAGGAATAAGGTGCAAATGTGTCAAATGTAGGTAAATCTAAGTAAGCATTGCTCATATAAAACAATAAAAAGTAACAAATTTGTGGAGGAAACAAAACATTGTGAAACTAGAATATTAGCTACAAATAACATATTATTGGGACTGTGTAAAGAATAAAGATTATTTTCTAGTTCTAGAGGAGGCTGGTGATGCTGATCAATTTCAGACTTTCTTAAATCAAGATGCAAGTTAAATGTAAGAAATAGAAAGTGAATGCATGATGTCGTTAGTTAAAAAGAAAAATGTGAATTTTAAAAACACACTTAAAGCAAGACAAAAAAAGGAGCAAAGAAAAAGCATAGTAGGCCGGGCGCGGTGGCTCAAGCCTGTAATCCCAGCACTTTGGGAGGCCGAGACGGGCGGATCACGAGGTCAGGAGATCGAGACCATACTGGCTAATCCGGTGAAACCCCGTCTCTACTGAAAAATACAAAAAAACTAGCCGGGTGAGGCAGCGGGTGCCTGTAGTCCCAGCTACTCGGGAGGCTGAGGCAGGAGAATGGCGTGAACCCAGGAGGCAGAGCTTGCAGTGAGCTGAGATCCGGCCACTGCACTCCAGCCTGGGCGACAGAGTGAGACTCCGTCTCAAAAAAAAAAAAGAAAAAGAAAAAGAAAAAGCATAGTAAATAGCACAAAAGAGGAGGACAGGAAGAAATCTAAACATGTAAGTAATTGCAATAAATGCAAATGGATGAAATTCATCATTAATAGAGCATCAGCCTTTAAAAATGCATGTATGGCTGGGCACGGTGGCTCACGCCTGTAATCCCAGCACTTTGGGAGGCCAAGGCAGGCAGATCACCTGAGGTCAGGAGTTCGAGACCAGCCTGGCCAACATGGTGAAACACCTGTCTCTACTAAAAGTACAAAAATTAGCCAGCTGTGGTGGCGCACGCCTGTAATCCCAACTACTTGGAAGGCTGAGACACGAGAATCGCTTGAGCCCAGGAGACGTAGGTTGCAGTGAGCTGAAATTGCGCCACTGCACTCCAGCCTAGGTGACAAAGCGAGACTCCATCTCAGAAAAAAGGTTTTTAATTAAAAACTTAAAATGCAGGCATAAGCTGCTTACTAGAGACACAGTGGAATACAGAAAAGTTACAACTAAAGATGTAAAAATATATTACAAGTAAATATCATCAAAACTACTGATAGAGCTATATTAATATTTTAAATAAGACTTTAAGTCCAAAAGAATTATTATGAAAAAATAGATGAAAGGTATACCACCAAAAACATACAACAATTCAGAACATGTACTCAACTAATAACAGTATCAGAATATGAAGTAAATATGGGTAAAATTACAAGGAAATTTTTTAAATCCATTGTAAAACTGGGAAATTTTAACAAAAGTACCTCAGTAATTAATAAAGCAAATGGACAAAAAAAAAAGTAAACAGAGGTCGGGCACGGTGGCTGATGCCTGTAATCTCAGCCCTTTGGGAGGCCGAGGTGGGCAGATCACTTGAGGTCAGGAGTTCGAGACCAGCCTGGCCAATGTGATGAAACCCTGTCTCTACTAAAAATACAAAAATTAGCCAGGCATGGTGGTGAGTGCCTGTAATCCCAGTTACTCTACTTGGGAGGCTGAGGCAGAAGAACTGCTTGAACCGGGAGGCAGAGGTTGCAGTGAGCCAGGATTGTACCACTGCGCTCCATCATGGGTGACAGGAAAAACAAACAAAAAATATATATATAATTAATATATTATATATCAGATTATATAATATACTATAATAGATATAGAATGATTATAATACATAGTAAATATAATAGATACATAGATATATGTAGTCTACATACACAAACACATATATATACCATATCAAGCTAATTTTTTATTTATTAACATATATAAAATATATAAACTATGTTTGTGTATATATATGTGCATATATATACCACAGCCAAAAATCAGCAAATACACGTGCTGTTAAAACATAAGCAGAATGTTTTAGAGTATTTGAACATGTATTTTGTCTCAAAGTAAATCTCAAAAACTTCTAACAACCCAATCCTAACAAAACTCAAACTAGAAACCAATAACAAAAAAGTAACAAAAAAATTATATAAAGAAATGTTAAAATACACTTCTAAATAACTCTTATTTATTTATTTACTTTTTAATTGAGATGGAGTCTCACTGTGTTGCCCAGGCTGGAGTGCAGTGGTGCGATCTCGGCTCACTGCAACCTGTGCCACCCAGGTTCAAACAATTCTTGTGCCTCAGCCTCCCGAGCAGCTGGGACTACAGGTGCATGCCACCACACCCGGCTAAATTTTGTATTTTTAGTAGAGACAGGATTTCACCATGTCGGCCAGTCTGGTCTCAAACTCCTGACCTCAGGTGATCTACCCACCTCAGCCTCTCAAAGTGCTGAGATTGCAGGTGGGAGCCACCACGCCCTGCCTGAGTAACTCTTAAGTCAAAGAAAAAGTATAATGGAAATTAGAATATAGTATGCATCAAAACGTATAAGATGTCGCTAAAGTTGTGCTTAGGAAAAAAATGCATAGATGTCATGGATTATAATTGAAAAAACAAAAATGACAATAGGGGAGCTAAACTTCTGTGTATGTTATATATTGCTATGTAACAAGCTAGACTGAAACTTAGTGGCTTAAAGACGTAACAATTTATTATTTCTCCTGAATCTGTAGGATGGCTGGGCAGTTATTCTGTCGACGATACCTGCATGTCCTGCTGTGGCTACATTTGTTGGCAGGGACTGGGCTCAGTTGGGATGGCTAGACCTCTGTCTATTTGATTTTATATCCTTAGGGTGGCTAAACTGGCCTTTTTCACATGGCATACAATTTCCCAGTGCAAAGTGCTTATCAAGTCTCTGCTAGCCTCGTATTTGCTTATGCCCTGCAAGCCAGAGAAAGTCACATGGCTGGGCGCGGTGGCTCACACCTGTAATCCCAACACTTTGGGAGGCCAAGGCAAGCAGATCACTTGAGGTCAGTAGTTCGAGACCAGCCTGGCCAACATGGTGAAACCCCGTCTCTGCTAAAAATACAAAAATTAGCCAGGTGTGGTGGCAGGCGCCTGTAATCCCAGCTACTTGGAAGGCTGAGGCAGGAGAATCACTTGAACCCAGGAGGCGGATGTTGCAGTGAACCGAGATCACACCATAGCACTCCAGCCTGTGTGACAGAGTGAAACTCCATCTCAAAAAAAAAAAAAAAAAAAAAAGTCATATAGCCAACTCCAGCATCAAGACAGGAAGACTGCAAGGGTTTGGATACTAAAAAGAGAAATTCATGGGAGGCCTTTAATATAGAACACTCTCAGCCAGGCACAGTGGCTCACTCCTGTAATTCCAACACTTTGGGAGGGCCAGGCAGGCGGATGACTTGAGCACAGGAGCTCGAGATCAGCCTAGACAACGTGGCGAAATTCCATCTCTACAAAAAATACAAAAATTAGCTAGGTGTGATGGCACGCACCTGTAGTCCCAGCTACTCAGGAGGCTGAGGTGGGAGGATGGCTTGAGCCCCGGAGACAGAGGTTGCAGTGAGCTGAGATGATACCACTGGGCCTGGACAACAGAGCCTGGGTGCCCAGCTTGCACGATAGAGCCAATAAATACATATATATAATATATATACTTGCACACATATATGAAACAATCTCTATCACAGTCTTCCCTTGACCCCAATGGTTGATACCCCTCCGGCATGCAAGGGGTACTCATCTGCAGTCAGGACTCTGAAGTCTCACTCAATCATGTCATCAGGGACAACGTCCATGACGACATGATCTGCAAGATTCAAACGTAAATGACACTTCTCAAATCCAACTTCTCTGGATCCAGAGACCCATGAACTAAAAAGACGAGTTATCTGCTTACACACACACCCAGCATACAATGGTGAGGCAGAGAGAGGACAGTTACAATAGACACCTCCATCCAAAAACAAAAAGGAGTAATGGAAGGCATATAGTAACAACCAACCCATAGCCAGACAAATTTGATTAAGACCCTGGATTAACCCACTCGGGCTGCTATAACAAAATACATAGAAGGGATGGCTTAAGCAATAGAAATTCTTTTAAGCAGTCTTTAATTTTTATTACAAAAAAGTTCGAATTTACACAAGAATACAGAGAATAGTATAGTTAACCCATTATATCTATCTTCTAGCTTCTTTTTTATTTTTCAATAGTTTTTGGGAAACAGGTGGTGTTTGGTTGCATGGAAAAGTTATTTAGTGGTGATTTCTGAGATTTTGGTGCACCCATCACTCAAGCAGTGTTTACTGCACCCAAAGTGTAGTCTTTTATCCCTCGGCCCCCTCCCACCCTTTCCCTCGAGTCCCCAGAGTCCATTTTAAAATATGGAATGTTGGCCAGGTGCAGTGGCTCATGCTTGTAATCCCAGCACCTTGGGAGGCCAAGGCAATCAGGTCACTTGAACTTAAGAGTTCAAGACCAGCCTGGGCAATGTGGTGAAACCCTGTCTCTACCAAAAATACAAAACAAATTAGCCAGGCGTGGTGGCACATGTCTGTGGTCCCAGCTACTTAGGAGGCTGAGGCAGAAGGATTACTTGAACCCAGGAGATGGAGGTTGTAGTGAGCCAAGATTGTGCCACTGCACTCCAGCCTGGGCAACAGAGCGAGATTCCATCTATACACACACACACACACACACACACGTGTGTGTATCTTCAAAAATTTGCATGTCATCCTTGCACAGGCACCACGCTAATCTTCTCTGCATCATTCCAATTTTTTAGTATATGTGCTGCCAAAGCAATCACAACAACAGAAATTTATTTCTCAAGAGTTCTAGAGGCTGGGAAGTCCAAGATCACAGTGCCAGCCAACTTGATTCCTGGTGAGGGTGCTCTTTCTGGTTTGCAGATAGCAGTAAAGCTCTGGTGTCTCTTCCTCTTCTTACAAAGGACACCAGCCCTATTGGATTGGGGCCCCATTCTTATGACCTCATCTAATCTTATTACCTCCTCATAGGCACTGTCTCCAAGCATAGTCACACTGAAGGACAGAGCTTTAACATATGAATTTGAGGGGACACATCATTCAGTCCATGTCACACCCCCTATTCTGGAGGCAGAGAATGTTCCTAGTTTAGGGCCTAGTTTTCCTCCTGGGAATGGTTTCCTAATCCATTATTCCTCACAGTTCTGGGCTTCTGGCTCTGTTCTCCAAGAGTTCCTATCTACACAACTACTTGGTAGAGTGTAGTATCTAGTAAGGTGGAAGCTGCCTATAGCCCGTGATCCACAAATTTCACTTCTAGGAAGTAGGCCCACAAGTTACTAATGTTGTGACCTTGAGCAAATAACCTCTCTCTGTGACTTAACTTCCCTCTGTGCCTCAGTTTCCCATCTGTAAAATGGAGAAATAATATTGAGCTCCTCCTAGTCCTATTATGAGAATTAAATCAATTGGTACTTGTCAAGTGTTTAGAACAATGCCTGACGCTTAATATGCACTATTTTAAAAATAATCTCAACATAGATCTATTTATTTTTTAAAATACTATCCAACAGTAAGAAAATAAATACAATAACTGGGTTAAAGCCATAGAGAAATATTATGAAGCAGTTGAAAGGAATGACCCAGAGGAATGAACACAACTTTATAAACTTATGTAAAGTTGTAATATATTCAAACTATTCTTCACATAATCGTGCACTTGTCTGTAATTAAAATTTTTTAATATTCATGGGAATGATGAACTCCAAAATTAGAATAGTGGTTACCTCTGGGAAAAGAAAGAGACTAATGAGATCGGGGAGTGATACACAGTGCCTGGTACTGTACCTAGTGACTTAGATTCTTCAAAAATAGGGATCTGATATGGCTGGGCACAGTGGCTCACGTCTGTAATCTCAGCACTTTGGGAAGCCAAGGCAGGCAGGTCACTTAAGGTCAGGAGTCAGAGAGCAGCCTGGCCAACATGAAGAAGCCCATCTCTACTAAAAATGCAAAACTTAGCCAGGCATGGTGGCACCCACCTGTAATTCCAGCTACTTGGGAGTCTCAGGCAGGAGAATCACTTGAACCCAGGAGGCAGAGGTTGCAGTGAGCCAAGATCACACCACTGCACTCCAGCCTGGGTGACAAGAGTAAGACTCCATCTCAAAAAATAAAATAAATAAAACAAGAATAGGGATCTGATATGGCTGGGCACAGTGGCTCACACCTGCGCTTTCTCCAAATTATGACCCTGTAAGGCTCTGTTTTAGGATAAGCACAGGAGGAGGAGCCGAACACAGAAAGGGAGTGATTAAAGATGCCTTCCTGTGGTATACTAAGTGTCCATGTGAAGAATATCAAAATCCCAGCCCTTTGGGAAGCCAAGGCAGGCCAATCACTTGAGGTCAGGAGTTCGAGACCAGCCTGGACAACGTGGTGAAACTCTGTCTCTACTAAAAATACAAAAATTAGCCGGGAGTGGTGGCTTGCCTGCCATCTCAGCTACTCAAGAGGCTGAGGCACAAGAATTGCTTGAGCTCAGGAGGCAGAGGTTGTAAAAACTCTGTCTCAAAAAAAATATATATATAGGGATCTGAAATAGCTATAAGATAGCAGGATATTTGATATGCTATTCTCCATGCTTTTCTCATATTTGATGTATTTTGTAATAAATTTTAAAATTAATAATTATTCACAAGAAAATATATAATTGAGCACTGAGGCTGAATCTCCTGTTTTGGTCTCTGCAGAGGCCTGACACACAGAAGAAAGCACTTGGAGTCCAGATGACCCACCCTTGTTCCACCCTTCCCAAAATTTCCATCGTAACTGATGTCACTAGGTCAAGAAAGCATCCCAGCAACTGAACTGGGGAGGAAATTGAATAAGAGTGTACTTAAGGGAGGTGGTTATAGTGTAAAGTAGGACAGAGATTCTCAACCCTGCTTCCTCTACAGCATACCTGAGAAATGAAAGTCACATCTGCAACTTACTCCCAAGAGTAAGCAGGTCTGTTTTTAAAGAGCTAAGATTAGCTATGGGTTATGTACCGCATCATCATCTGCTGTCTACCAGATGTAAGTCCACCTCTTTCTCCTCCTCATATCAGGAGGGAACAAAAGCCCTGACCTAAGGTTTGAAAAACACTAAGTCATTGATATTGGACATCTGACCTCCTGACCAAACTAGACCAGGGAACCAGGCTTGCCTAGTCTAGGGCATGGTTGTGGATACTGGTGATACCATCTGTCTGGATACCCTATGCTGTTTCCTTATTATTTCTTCTCATTCCCTCCCACAAATGCAGTTTTGAGAGTAAATCATGAACCCAGAGGAGGAAAGCATGGGAATAGGGCAAATTAGGACCCATAAGAATAGACTGAGGGATTGAAAGAGGATACCACATTTACCACTGGAGTCAGTCACTAACAGCAGTGGTTAGTGGGGAAGAAGGGGTATGGCCAGGAGAGTTTACTGTTCCATATTCCCTCTCCCTTTCTCTCAATCTTTTTTTTTTTTTTTTTTTTTTTTTTGCTTTTCGAGATGGAGTCTCTCTCTGTCACCCAGGCTGGAGTGCAGTGGCACCATCTCGGCTCACTGCAACCTCTGCCTCCCAGGTTCAAGCGATTCTCCTGTCTCAGCCTACTGAGTAGCTGGGACTACAGGCTCCCGCCACCATGCCTGGCTAATTTTTGTATTCTTAGTAGAGATGGGGTTTCCCTATGTTGGCCAGGCTGGTCTCCAACTCCTGACCTCAGGTGATCCACCCGCCTCAGCCTCCCAAAGTGCTGGGATTACAGGCATGAACCGCCCACCCAGCCTCCTCTCCCTTTCTCCATCTCCTGTGCTATGCTGTCAGTCCTAGCCATCTAAATTGCCTGAGAGCCTGACCTACCATAGTATGAGAGGAGAAAAAAAAGTGTGACCCTAGGCAGGAAGAAGAGAGAAGGAAACAGGAAAGGAAGGTGGTAGAGACAGAAGAGAAGGTCCTCTGGCTGTGGACCTTGCCCCTGAGGCCACAAATATATGTAAGGGACATAGTAACCTGGGGAAATGGAAAAAGGGGACTATCAGATGGGCCAAAGCTAGTTTAGGATAGGAAATTTACATAATTTTTTTCAAAACACTAATGAAAGCCACTTATACAAACGAAGATTGAAATTTATACTTTTCATGATGCTCATACAGTCTTTTAAGTAAAGGCAAAAGAGATGTTTTATTTTAAATAGCTTCTTCTCTTGGGATTCAAAATTTTAGTCAATGGGCATTTCTGATGCAACCTGCAGTTGCTGAAGATAAGTAGTAAAGGAAGGTGTTCATTAATTTGAAGAAATCTGGTCATTTAATATCTTAGCACTTATTCCAATGGACCCTGGTCTTAATTTGAAAACACACACACCCCTCACATTCTTTTTCCCTAAGAAAAAGAGGTTTCCAGCCAGGCATGGTGTCTCACGCCTATGTAATCCCAGAACTTTGGGAGGGCGAGGTGGGTAGATCATAAGGTCAGGAATTCAAGACCAGCCTGGCCAACATGGTAAAACCCTGTCCCTACTAAAAATACAAAAATTAGCCGGGCATGGTGGGGGATGCCTGTAATCCCAGCTACTCGGGAGGCTGAGGCAGGAGAATTGCTTGAACCTGGGAGGCCAAGGTTGCAGCAAGCAAGATTGCACCCCTGCACTCCAGTCTGAATGACAGAGCAAGACTCCATCTCAAAACAAACAAAAAAGAAAACGAGGTTTCCGTAACTTCTTTGAAATCAAAATAACCATCAAACCTCTCCATCTTTTGACTATTCTTATTTTATTTTATTTATTTATTTTTTTGAGACAGAGCCTCGCTCTGTCATCCAGGTTGGAGTGCAGTGATATGATCTCAGCTCACTGCATCCTTCGCCTCCCAGGTGCAAGCAATTCTCCTTGCCTCAACCTCCTGAGTAGCTGGCATTACAGGTTTGTACCAGCACACCCGGCTAACTTTTGTATTTTTAGTAGAGACGGGTTTCATCATGTTGGCCAGCCTGGTCTCGAACTCCTGACCTTAAATGATCTGCCTGCCTTGGCTTCCCAAAGTGCTGAGATTACAGGCATGAGCCACCGTGCCCAGCCTGTTCTTCTTTCTTATGACCAGGCTTACAGCGTAAGGCAAGAAAGGGAAGCAATGAGATAAAACAATTTCTTTATCGCCTTTCACTTGATGATTTCTGGAAGCTGGTGTTGGAATGGCCATGTCCCAGAATCACAGACACTTAATGATGGAAGTCATCTGAGAAGCGTCCTTGTCTGTTGCTCCGCCACACGGGCATTTTCCCCACAGAAAATGACAACTGATCCTTTCATTTCCATGAAGTCCAATGAGTAACTAATAATTGTGAGTTACTTTAAAATATCAAGTTAGGCAGTACCGAACTAATAATAAGAATGCATATGCAATGAGGAATCTGACTCCACTTTTTGATGCTTGACTGCTGACAGCTTTTAAGCCTCCATCTGCCTCTGCAGGGACCATAACAGCATATATTTAAAATAATTGGCCAGGCACAGTGGTTCACGCCTGTAATCCCAGCACTTTAGGAGGCCGAGGCAAGAGGATCACTTGAGGTCAGGAGTTTGAGACCAGCCTGGGTGACATAGTGGGACCCATCTCTACTAAAAATGAAAAAATATTAGCTGGGTATGGTAGCACACACCTGTAGTCCCAACCTGGAGGCTGAGGTGGGAGGATTGCTTGAGCCCAAAAGTTCAGGGCTGCAGCAAGCTATGATCACACCACTGCACTCCAGCCTGGGTGACAGAGCAAGACCCTGTCTCA